CGGGAGCGCCAGTGGCTCTCCTGCGGGAGGAGCCCTGCAGCCACCGCCCGGCCCACCTGGAGCGCCGCCGTCACCGCCTCCGCGGGGGGCGCGGCCTGCGGATCCCTCGGACCCCGCGCCCGCGGCGGGCTGCCAGCGCCGCCGCCCGCCGCGGTGGCCGCGTCGCCGCCAGGCCCGGCTCCCGGCGCTGCCATTCTCAGCGGTGCTGCCGGCGGGGCCTCTGCCATATGGCGCCGCCGCTCCTGGCGGTGCTGCCCACCGCCCCCGGCGCCTCCGCCGTGGGTGGGGCCGCTGTCAGAGCCCAAGCTTTCGGCGCTGCCGCCGCGAGCGGAGCAGCCGTCGGAGCCTTCGTTGCTCCCGGCGCTGCCGCTACGGGCGGAGCTGCCCTGAATCCGCGTTGTCGCCGCTGGGGAGCTGCTTGTGCTGCTCTCGGAGCCGCTGCTGCCGCTGCTGAGCGGGGCGGCCGCCGCTGCCTCCGCCTCCTGCGCGGCTGGCCCTGCGAGACGCGCCCCTCCCTCGGGAAGCTGCTCCTGCGCGCGGCGCCGCCTGGGCGCCCGTGCTGCCGAGCTGCTGGAGCTGCCGCTGCGGGGGAAGCGGCGGTCCGGGGGGCGCGCTCGCGGGACTTCGTCGGCACCGCCTGGGCTGCGCGCGTCCGGGCTGAGCGCGCGGCCGCCGTGGCCGGGCTGCGCGCGGCCGCCGGGGTCGGGGCCGCCTGCCCCGGCGAGATCCGGGCGCCCGCCCCGCCCCGGGGAGCTGGGGAACGGCCGCGCGCGTCGCTGCTCCGGCGGGTGCGGCGGCGGCGGGCTGGCCGCGCGTTCGGGCAGCTCCGGCGGGTGCGGCGGCGTCGGGCCGGCCGCGCGTTCGGGCAGCGTTCCCGTTGGCAGCGCCGGCGCCGGCTCGGCGCCCGGGCGCTGCAAGGGCTGCTCGAGTGCTCCCTGCGCCGGAGCGCGCGGCGCCCTGTGGACTGCGCCGCCGGCCCCGCGCGCAGCAACTTGTCCGCATCATCGGGGGGGGGCGCCACCCATCAGAACATCGCCGTTATCAGCGGGCACCTCGATTCCTCCTCGCCCATGCCGCCGAACACCAACAGATGCCGCAGGGGCGGGCGCGGGCGCTTGCCTCGGTGCGGGCGCGGACGCTTGCCTCGCCTTCTGCTGGTAGAACTGTCGGAACAATGCAAACAAACGGGGTCTCGACAAAAACCTTGAGCTCAGGGTTGGCATCCAAGACGAACTTTTCGAGTACCAGCTCTGGCGGTGGCGGTCCCGTGCGGCGGGGTTCCTCATTTAGAGCTTCGGTCGCACGCACCAAGGTCACCTCCTACTCTTGTAATTCGACCAAAACCTGCTGGGCCTCAGCAACAACCTTTGTTTGTATCTCGGCCCCGACCGCATCCTGAACATTCCCATGCTTCTGCTGTGCTGCATGTAAGCGACACAAAAACTTCGTATGCTGTTCGGGCCCTGGTCGAGCACTCCGCGCCTCTTGACGCGCATGTCGCAAGTATTCCGTGCAATATTTCTTGGCGGGGCCAACGCCATCAACATCACGGAGCTGTTTGGGAGCATAGCCAAAGGAATCGATGTGGGTGGTCTTGATATCCTCGTCCGCTGGAGAAGACTGTCCATCATTAGAAGTCCCACAAAACTGAATACTGCAAGCGGCCGCACACTTTTTCATGAGAGCCTGCTTGACCATCTGGTCAACGTTCTTTTCGAGAGCTGCCGTGATCTGAGCGACCCAGTCAGCCAGTCCCTGTGCCCACTTTCCAGTGGGGTTTGGGGAGTCTTCGTCGGTTGCTGCTTCCATTATTGCTCGTTCTTGCGAGCTGCCTGTACCACACGCGGAGGAGCAGCAGCGCCACGAGAAATCCTCATTCGACAAACCCAGGTCGCGGTACGGGCGCAATGCGAGCAAGACCGCAGAAGCATCCGAGGGCCTCTACGTACAGAGCCATCGTCAGACATCGTTGGACGTCTGCGACGACGTCTCCGGAACAAGATTTGGCTCGCACCAGCGCAGACACATCGAAGTACGCTGGTGCAAACTCGAGCTGGTCCACTTAATCAGCTCGAGGCGAAGCAGCTTCGGGAAGAGGTGGAAAAAAGGAAGAGAAGGAGGAAGACGACAACCGACACACGCAGGAGCAACAGCCGTCTCAAAGCTTGAAGCTCTCTAGGACCAGCTTGAAGGAGGAGGAGGAGGAGGAGGAGGAGGAGGAGGAGGAGGAGGAGAGGGATGGGGAGAAAGAGGACGAGGAGGCGGAAAGGGACGAGGCGAGGAGAAGCAGGAGGAGGCAGGAAGAGGAGGAGGAGGAGGAGGAGGAGGAGGAGGAGGAGGAGGAGGAGGAGGAGGAGGAGGAGGAGGAGGAAGGGAGAGCGGGAGGAAGCGAGGCAGAGGCCGAGGACGTGGCGCCCCCCCTCCGTCTCCACGTGACGTAGTCGGCCCTCGACCCTCCGGGCCCCCACCGAGGGACGGGAGAGCCCCGGTCTCGGCCGGCCTGCGTGGCATCGTCCAGACCCACCGCCAGCGGGTCGGGTTCCAGCGCCTCTCGGGCTGCTGTTTGAGCCTGTTTTTTGGCTCTGTTTCACTCCCGCCCTGCCCTCCGAGCGGCCGGGCCAAAGCAACTCCGTCGTGGCCGTCGCCGTCGTCTTCAAGCCAAGGGAGATCAGGGGTCGAAGGGGGCCGAGGTCCCCTGCATTCCCAACGCCATTATGCTCCGCTGGGGGCCTCATGGGGATGTCCGGAGGCCTGAAATGTCTCCAAAGGCCTCCGGAGACATCCGTAGCCCTGCCGACCTGCTGTCGTCAGGGCCGTGGTCCTCATTGCATCGCATTGCATGGCGCTGCGTTGCAATGCCCTTCCTTGAACTGCTCTGACATACCGTCATTTGATTGGCAATACGCTGCCCTGCTTATCAGTGGACTGCGTCGCTGAGCATTGCAGTGCATTGGTTTGTCTTGAACTTACATCGCGCTGGCTGGATTACGATTTCTGCTTTTCGCTGTTTGAATCAACACGTGGGGCTCCTCAAAAGACAAGAGGCCAGCTACCGCGAGGAACCAGGCGCGCCCAGAGGGCACATCTCCCAAGACCCCAATCTCGATGAGAGCGTGATCCACCGCCGCTTTCCTGTAGAAAATTCCACCCCTCTTCCTCTTCCTCCAAGACCCCGGGGTCCCCCCCCCCTCCGAAAATCCCCCCCCTGCTCGAACCGTGAACCTCCCCCCCTCCCTTTCCCCGGCGGCGACAGCCCCCCCCCTAACCCGTCCCCCCCCCCGAGGTCACTACCGGTTCGAACCCCCCTCACCCCTCCCCTCCAGAAAACGTGGGCGGGGCCACTACTGGTTCGAACCCGCACCCTAGCCGCCGGCAAAAGACTCCTGGGTCTCCACCACCGTCCTCACCACCGACCTCACCACTGTCCCCACCACCACCGTCCACACCACTGTCCCACTGTCCCCGCTGCTCCCACCACTGTCCCCGCTGTCCCCACCAATGCCCCCACTACGGTCCCACTCTCCCCCACTGTCCCCACCACTGTCCCACTGTCCCCACTGTCCCCACCACTGTCACACTGTCCCCACTATCCCTGCCGCTGTCCCACTGAGCTGTCCAACTGTTCCCACCGCTGTCCCACTGTCCCCACTGTCCCCAACACTCTCCCCACTGTGCCACTGTCCCAGTGTCCCACAACCGTCCTCACCACCGCCCTCACCACTGTCCCCACCACCGTCCCCACCACTGTCCCAGTGTCCCCACCACTGTCCATGTGTCCCCCCGCCACTATCCCCACAACTACCGTCCCCACCACTGTCACACGGTCCCCACTGTCCTCACCACTGTCCCACTGTCCTCCCCACCACTGTCCCCACCTTCCCCACCACTGCCCCCACCCCTGTCGCACTGTCCCCACTGTCCCCACCGTTGTCCCCACCACGATCCCACTCTCCCCACTGTCCCAACTGTCCCCACCACTGTCCCACTGTCCCCACTGTCCCCACCACTGTCCCACTGTTGCCACTGTCCCCACCGCTGTCCTACTGTGCTGCCCCACTGTCCACACTGTCCCACCACTGTCCCATTGTCCCCACCACTCTCCACCACTGTACCACTGTCCCACCACCATCCTAACCACCGCCCTCACCACTGTCCCCACCACCACTGTCCCCACCACTGTCCCACTGCTGTCCCCACCACCACCGTTCCCACCACTGTCCAACTGTCCCCATTGTCCCCACCACTGTTCCACTGTCCCCAGTGTCCCCACCACTGTTCCCACCGTCCCCGCCAGTGGCCCCACCACTGTCGCACTGTCCCCACTGTCCCCGCCGCTGTCCCCACCACGATCCCACTCTTCCCACTCCCCACCACTGTCCCCGCCACCGTCCCAACCACTGTTTCCGTCCCCCACCCCGAGTGGGAGAGGAGGGGGAGTCGTTGCGGCGAGGGGTGAGGGGGGGGTCGAACCAGTAGTGACACCCCCTGGTTTTCCAGGGCGGGGGGGAGGGGTGCGAACCAGTAGTGACCCCCCCCTTTTCATGATGGACCGGGGGGAGGGGGGGAGGGGGGGGGTTGGAACCCCCAGTGGCCCCCCTCGGTTTTCGAGAGGGGGGGGGGACGGGTTGGAAACCCCTAGTGCCCCCCCCCCAGGTTCTCTGCCAGCAATGGTAGAACACGCTCTTTCCAATCTCGACACAATGCCGCCGCCCAGCCCCTTGCATTGATGAAGCTAGGACCCTTCAGCAAAGCCACGCGAGGCCATAGAACAGATTCGCGCCAGCGTGCACCTGCTGCCCTGACTTCACTCCCCAGCGTTCCCCTGACCCTGCTGCAGCAGCGAGGCAACCCTCGACAATCCCTTCCCCATGCCTGGAATGGGAATGCGGAAGCCCTCAGACCCAGCTGCGCCTCTGCAGCCCTGCCCAAGCTCCCCCCGTGCTTGCTCATCTCCTCCTCCTCCTCCTCCTCCTCCTCCTCCTCCTCCTCCTCCTCCTCCTCCTCTCTCCTAAGCGCGCGCCTCGTCCAGAAATGTCTGCATTCCGATGCCCTTGCGCGGGGGGGAGGGTGGTGGGTGGGGGGGGGAGGGGGCGCTCGCAACGCAACGAGGGGCGCGACCACCGGCAGCCGCCAGCGACAGCCGGACCGAGCGGCGCGGGGAGAAGGGACGAGGGAAAGATACGACCTGGGGGGGCCACTGGGGAAGAGGGGAGGACTGGAGGCCTGGAAATTGGCACCAACACCAACACAGGGGGCTGCCTCCTCGGGGGGAAGATGATCCTAGATTTCGGTGTTGGTGGTAATATTTCGGCCACCTTGGAAACCAGAATATTACCACCATCACCGAGACTGGGATCTTCTTCCCTCGGTGGAGGCACGCCGCCGATATTGGTGTTGGTGTCAACCTCGAGGCCTGCGAGAGGACACGACCTGGGGAGGATACGACCTGGGGGGGGGGGGGGGGGCGGCGCTTGCAGTGAGGGGCGCGGTCACCGGCAGCTGCCGGCGACAGCCGGACCAGGGGGGACCAGCGGGCTCGGGGAAGAGGAGGGGCGCCTCCGCCCTCTCCACGCGACCGCCAGCGAGCACCCAAGAGCGCCCCAAGAGCGCTCCAAGGAGGGCCCAAGAGGCAAATGTTCAACCACCGAGGGCGTCGGGAGGGCGAATGAAGGAGCCCCCTCCCTGTTGGGCCATGGGGCCCAAGATCGCCAAGGGGCCCCGAATTCCTCCCAAAGAGCCCCTAGGGGGTCCCACCAGTGGACAAAAAGTGTCCACACCCATCGCGCCGATATGATGATGCGACATCGAATTGCGTCGAACAAATATCCATCGCCCTCGCCCCCCCCAACCCAAAGTTGACGGGGTTGGGTGCGAGGCAACGCGCGGGGGACAAAATACGGACACTTCAGCTCCAGGTTTGGGGGCGCCGTCGGCGTGGACACTTTTTGTCCGGGCACCAGAGGATGCAGGATGGAGCCTGCTTTTTTTTTGGATTCAGGCAAGTTTACTTGCATGGCGTTCGCCCCCCCCCCCTCGCCCCTCTTCAAGCGAATACTAGCGTGCAAGTGCCTTTCGACTTGCGTGATTTCCGCGCCCCCCCCGGGCTTGCTTCAGGCTCAGCACCCCCCCCCGTCCATGCAAGTAAACTTGCCAGAGTCTAAAAAAAACGCTCATGCAGGGCGTTGCCCTGAACGCCCAGGCCCTGTCGGAAGGGGCGCATGGCCTCGGTGAGCTGCCCATGCTCACGCGGATGGCCAGCGCCTCGCGCAGCCTGGCTCGCAGTCGAGCGGTGGCGCACTCTGAAACTCGCGTGGCGCAACCAGCTGCGCTCGCATTCAAACAGAATCAGCGGAATTCGAGCACCAAGCAGAGGCGCAACTCCTCAACCCCAGATGCACTCACCACACACTACATGGCCTATCACGAGGATGGCAACGTCACGAGAGACTGGACCACCCGAAGCAGAATGAAATCACCAGGCACTAGACACGGCGGTGGACAAACCTCCCTTTAGTAAACCTCCCCTTAATGAAAACGGCCTGGGACCGAAACCGACAGACATGGACCCGCAAAAATGACGGCCGCGACGCCCTCTCGCGAACCGAAAACGGCCAAGTCCTTAATCGACGTGTCAGGGTAGGAGGTCTATCCACCTCCGATAGACCGTCGAATGCAAGCCTGTCAGATATGCAGCCCACTCACGCGCCCAACGTTGGTAACTGAGCACTTCGAGGATGCGTCTCGAATGCGGACCCATCATCGTCGAATCGTCAGCGGTCTCCTTGGACTCCATGTCTAGACCTTCGCTCGCCAGTTCCTCCTCTGCGAACGAGTGTCTTCGGGTCCTGCGCGGCGGGTTGAACGTCTACGGCAAAACAAGGGGGGGAGAGAGCGAGAGAGAGAGACAGAGAGAAACATGAAATCATAGCAAACAACAAACGATACAGACATACATGTAGCTGGGAAGAAACACTGAGACAAAATCAAGAACGCCCAAGCGAGTGCAACAAATGGATGGACGGTGAATAGAAGCATGGGCAAATGATGCGGACAAGACGGTACTGATACCGCAACGAGGGACTCCAGGAGGCTCACGCAAGCGGAAATAAGAGTCGGGGAGCAGTGTCGGTAGTTTTTCCTCGTTTGAATAAATGCGGCTTCTGCGCAATTCCCTGTGTGCAGCCCTAGAGGCCTCCGAAATGAGATCAGAATAGATGGGGTCGGGGAATCGCGCCGCATCACCGATGCATCGCCGATGATCCGGCAATGCATCGGCGATGCATCGGCGACGCATCGAAAATGCATCGTCGACATCGGCGATGCATGAGCGACGCCTGAGTATAGAAAATCAGGCTCCACATCCAGCCGCATTGCCGAAACACCATCGATGCGGCGCGATCCCCTTTCTTCATGTGCTCGGACCCCATTGGGAAAACCTGAACTGTGGGTGATCGACCCCGCAATTCGCACATCCAACCGGGAATCGCCGCGCACGCTCGCGATGCTCGAAAGCTTCGGTGGCAACTCACGGAAGCATACCATGCAATCTTCCTGGCCCTTGTGAAGCGACGCTGACCGACGCTAACCGACGCTCATCGACGCTAACCGTCGCTTATCGACGCTCGATCGACGCTAGTTCGGCGTCGTCCCATCGGTCACCACACGCCAGCGCACGCAAATGCACTCTAGAGATGGAGTTACAAGGACACTCAAGGGCCCCATGACCTGCCACCGAAGGAAGACCGCCCGCTCCTCCGCCGCCGCTGCGCCCTCGCACCGTTGCGCGATCCCACCGCCGCGCCGCCTCCCAGCACTCCGCAGCGCATGCGCGACGCCGCCGCCCCGCGGGAAGGCGCCCTCGGCGTACCGGGCCTGCCGACCTCGCAGCGGGTTGGACTGGGTTCATCCTGCCTCTGCTGCTGCCCCGCTGGGAGGGGCTCGAAGTATATATATATATACACACATACATTTATGTGTATCTACGTGTATATATATATATATAGATGTATAGATTGTACGCACACACGCTAGAACCACGTGCGCGCTTCGCGCGAGGTCAGGTTCCCCCACCCCCCATTTCTCCCCCTGACTCTCCTCTTCTCCGTCTTCTCGCACATCCCCTGCGTATACCCGTCTCCTCCCCTTCACTCCTCATCCCCCCTCTCCTGGCCTCCGTTCGCCCTCCCCTTCACCCTTTCCCCTTCCCGCTCCTCCCCTATATCTGGAAACAGCTGAACAGGATCCTGCACTGTCGTCTGCTTCCTCTTCTACTGACCAACCGACACCCCCCACGGTGAATATTGGTTTACAAACAACACGCGAACCCCGATTCCAAATCACCCCTCATTGTTCCGTCCCGGCAACGCGTGCAGGGAACAAACGACCGCATGCGAGACATCGTGTACGAAAAGCCTACACGAAAAGCGTGCACGAAAATACTTGCCACACGATGAACATGCGTGTCGGTGAGAACACCTGTTGAGGAGGAGGAAGAGTCGGGGGATGATGTGGAGCTGATGCAAAGGTAGGGAGAAACTAAAGAGCATGGGGCGCAGGGCAAGGCATCGCGCTCTGCACAGCACACCTGACGGGAGTATAACCCAACCAAGCGCAGACGGTGCGTGGCGCCACCAGGTCCGAACAGGAAGACTGTGCTGCGGAAGACTCGGCTCTCGTGACTGGTACAATGTGCCGATCTGCATGGGCAGTTCACCAGACATGCGAGGTTGAAAGAGGGACTGCTGACGAGCGCCATCGATACGCAAAAACCCGCCTTGCCCCCCCCACTGGTGGAGCGTCACAGATGGAGTGGCAGGCAGGGTAAACGTCTTGCGGCCCTCTTGGGCCTTCTTTGGCTGTTATTGGAACCTTTCTGGCGCCTCTGTTTTGGACCGTCTTGGGGAAATCCTGGGTGCTTGCTTCCTGGGCCATCTCAGACGCTCTGAAGACAAAGAAACCAAGACGAGCACGCTAAAATCTATGAAAAACCATTTGGGAATCAGTGTTGTTCACCTCTCGGAGGCCTCTAGGAGTTACTCTTGGAGCGCTATCGGCGCGTCCTGGACCGTCTTGGAGGCGTGTAGAAGCGCTTTGGCGCCACATTGGGCCGTCTAGGAAACGTCTTAGCTATGTTGGTGGTCTCCCAGCGCCGTTCGGATGTCGAAATCTTGACTCCGACAACTCTTGAAGCCGATATAACCTCACAGAGCTCAAAAAAAAAACCCTGGACACCCGGGTGCTAAATTGTTGTGCCCAGGTGGTGGTCCCATTGTCATTGTGTGCCCAGGGGAGGAACGCCAAACACCTGCAACAACAATTGGAAAACCAATGATGTTTGCCCCTTGGAGCCCTCTTGGGGTGCCTGGTGGAACGCTCCTAGAGCGTCTCGAGCGGGTTTTGCACCGTCTGGAAGCGCTTCTGCGGACCTCATGAGAGGATTCTTGGGGGCCTGCTTGATTCGTGCCCCCGAGCTCTCAAGAGGAGTCCCAGTGAGCTCTAAATCCTGCTTTCGTGCTCCCCCTCTGGGGCCGACCTTGGGCGGTTCCTGATGTGTTCTCGGGCCGGCTTGGAGATCTCTTGGGCCGTTCGGGGGGCCTCCTGGGCCGTCCCGGCGCCCACTTGGGAGTCTCTTAGGCCGTCTCGGGGCGATTCTCGAGGCCCCTGGGGTAGTCCTGGAGCGCTGAGCCGCGGAAAGTGCCATAAACACACAGGAACAAAAACCCGAAAGAAGTGGAATACACATGATTATGTGTTTAACACGTGTCCCCATTTTTTCCGATGCCAGCAGACTCAGTAAATCAGGCGAGCGATCGATAAAGCATGCTATCGAACACGACCCAGCGCTGCTCAAGCAGCCGCCTCCAAGCCCCTGTGAGCGAGGGGCCACACTTGCCAGCAGGGGAGAAGAGCAAGGGAGGGCAGGGAGGGACAACCGTCTTCAAGTTTTTGGCAGAGCCCAAAAACGGCAGCGGAACGGAGACACTCGAGAACACATTATCCAGCACGCAGGGCCATGTGTTTAACACGTGTCCCCATTTTTTCCGATGCCAGCAGACTCAGTAAATCAGGCGAGCGATCGATAAAGCATGCTATCGAACACGACCCAGCGCTGCTCAAGCAGCCGCCTCCAAGCCCCAAGCCCATGTACATAAATGGACGGGGGGGAGGGCGGGTAACTTAAAACCAGGCAGGGCGACGCACGCAGGCCAGCCCATCTTTGGCGGGCCCAGTGCCGCTAGGCGACACCATCCCACCGAAAACGGGGTGACCAACGGGCGCCCCCCCATTAAATCGGCTAAAAAGTTAAGGACCCCCGGGCGGCAGTGTTGTTGTTATACAGTTTGATGGCAGAGAAAGTGGGCGAATTTATCACAGAACCTGACGGGATAGGCGGAAGCCTTCTCAGAATGAAAGATACCACACTCATCTTTCCCTGCGATCTCCACATGAGGCTGGTTTGTGAACGAGCATACTCCACGACCGCGACACCGATCCGAGCGAAGGCCGTCGAGCACACAATTAGCATACAACAACCGAGTCCGCTTGCGGTAACACGATCCAAAGGCGCAATGATCCCAGTCAATAAAGTTATGTTTTGTCAGTAATGCCTGGAAACGGGGGTGCAGCCACAACATAGACCCCTGGGGATTCTCGATGATGACAGGGACCCCAAGCGACACGAGTCTAGAGAACAGGCTGGCGGCCCAATCGGCCTGACGGTTACCCAACTTCACTTTGCCTTGATCTTTCTCAGAGAGTCCAGGGAGCCCCAAGATGCACTCGGGTGAGCGGATAGGCCCCGGCCAGTTTCCAGGATGGGGGTTCCGCCTCGCCCGGGACCACGATGTGCACACGAGCCCGATCCAGACAAACTTGAGGCCTCGCCCAGCGACTGCGAGGAGGAGCTGAAAAACATCAGGATGAAGCGCGTCTTCCAACGGAGAGTCGGCGAACTCGAATGAGCGCATGGGCAGCCCGGCACGAACACAGGCCGCCGACAACCTGCGGCTGCCCGCCAGCAGCTCCACTCCCACTGTATTGGCAAAACGCACGACACGAGGTAGTTGCAGCAGCCCACCACGCGGCCCCCAATCGCCCAGCGGCCTAATCGAGGCTACTGCACTGGCCACGAGGAGCGGAGGCGCCCCGCGAAGAGGTCCTCGAGCCTCGCCCACTGGACCTCGCCGTGCGTTCGGGCGGCTGGTGACAGCGCCGACAACAGCTGCTGGACCATCCCGGGCTTTGCGTACCTCTTGACGCTGCTGTCCTGGCTCCAATGCCCCCTCGACTTCACTTCCCCGAGGGCGCGGCGGGCCGAGAGGACATCCTCGCTCGCACCGCCGTGGCGCAACTGGTATAGGCACACATCCTGCAGCCCCTGAGCCGTCGTGACCTTGCGGAACAGCGCCGCCATGTCGACCGCGGGGGTGGTGAACAACGACAGATGCCCTGGACGGCCGTGTGCATGCTGGGCCAACAGAGGCCCGAGCCAGGGCGGGTTGTCGAGCGGCACTGCCTCGTCGGACGCCCCCGTCTTGGTCAGGAAGCGGGCTCGGTCCGCCTCGTGGGCGAGCGGGGCCAGCGGGTCGGCCGCCGTCGGCGCCAGGAGGAGCGACCACACCGCCATGGCACCCCCGGCCCTCGTGGGCCGCAAGAGGTCCCTCACCAGCAGCTTCCTCAGCGCTCCTGGGCGGATGAACGTGCTGAACATCGTGAGCACCTGGAGCGCGGCGTCCCGCTCGTTCACCGAGAGGAGTCCCGAGATCGCTGAGCCCGCCACCTCGCGGGGCGCGGGGGCCCGCGACCTCGGGGGCACCTTCTTGCCGTACCCCTTCAGCGCGCGCTGCGCGCGAGGCAGGGCCCTCGGCCCCGTGACCCTCGGCGGCGCGTCCTTGACGGCGGCGACCAGGTAGTCCGCGTCCCCCTTCGTGCAGCCCGCCTCCAGGAACGTGTCGAGGACCTCCAGGACCTGCACCTCGAGCGCCTCGAGGTCGTCGGCTGGCTGTCCCACGAACGCCAGGAAGGCCGCGTAGTACTGCTGGTAGGAGAGCCTGGCCGAGGCACCGACGGCTGCGTTCTCGCAGGCCGACGGGATCGTGGCTGTCACCTTCGAGGTCCGCACCGTCGCCACCGCCGCCGCCAGCCGGGGCCGAAGCCCGGCAGCGCTGGGCGCCGCGGCCGGGCGGCGCATCAGCGCGGGCGCGCCTGCGGCTGCTGGGCGGCGAAGCGGCACAGGCGCGGCCACCGCCGCCGGGCGCCGCCGCAGCGCCGGCGCGGCAGCGGGCCTTCCCAGCCTGGCCCGCCTCGGCGCGGCTGGAGCTGGAAGACGAACAGCACGAGCCTTCCGCGCGGCGCGCTGGACCCCCTTGGTGGTCGACGCGCGCCCGTGGCTGTCCTCCAGGCAGGGCGTAGTCCCTCCAGCCACGCTGAGCGGGCCGAGCATACGGCCCACAGGGCGGCCGAGCGTCCGGCCGCTCCCAGAGCCGACTAGGCGCGTCGGCCGGGTTTGACTCTGAGGCGATCCAACGGAAACGAGCCGAAATGCTACAGGCTATGGACAGAGCGGTGACCCGTCGACAGATCTGCAGGAGGCCGTGTGATGTGGCCCCCCCACGCTCCAAAGCAAGCACGACCCCGAAATTGTCAATTAAGTACAACCTCCTGGAGCAGTGCCGCCCTGGATCTCTCGCATCACGGCGCAAAGCCCACACGGCGGCCCGTCCCTCCTTGACCCCGATGTGCTCGGCATATCTGAAGGGCGCAGCGTGCACGACACGAAACTGAGCTCCAAGGACTTCAGACGGGACCTCGGGAAAACCGACAGCGTGCTTCCAACCACGCTCCGACGGGTTCTCCCAGGCAGTGCGTGGCAAGGTGATTT